GTGGGGAGCAGTGACGTCAGGGAGTGCTGGGCAGCAAGTCCCAAGGTCCTCAGGGTGCCCCAGGGCCTTCCTTGGAAACCGTACTGCTGTCACTGCCCTGGCACCATGGGCCTGTGATGAGAGTGCAGCCTGAGCGATCTACAAACTGCCTTCAGGGTCTCTCTTCCATTGTCCTGGTGAAGAGCACAGCTCTGATCCATGCAGGCCTCCTGACCCACACCCTCGTGTTCTCTCCCAAACACACTTCCTTATCTGTTCAATATGGACAGGCTGAGAAGGCTAGAACCTTCCCAAATTTTTAAGTTCTGCTTCCCTTTTGATTATAAGTTCTGTCTCTAAATCATTCTTCTTTTCTTTCATTTTCCTAGAAACATTCAAGAGATTGAAGCTGCTCCTTGAATACTTTGCTTAGATATTTCTTCTGCCAAATTTCAGGTTCATCACTCTGAAGCTCTGCCTTCCAGAAAACACTAGGAGCACAATGCAGCCAAGTTCTTTGTCACTTTATGACAAGCATCACCTTTCCTCCAGTTTCCAATAACGTGTTCTTCATTGCCATCTGAAACTTCATCTGAATGATTTTTCCCATCCATATTTTTATTTTTTTAAGAGACTGAGTCTTCCTACGTTGGCCAGGTTGGTCTTGAAGTCTCATCCTCAAGTGGTCCTCCTGTCTTGGCCTCCCAAAGTGCTAAGATTCCAGGCATGAGACACCAGGCCCAAACCCCTCCATAGGCTACCGACATTCTGTCCGGCTCTCCTCTTCTGAGCCCTCACCAGAGTCACCCTTAACCAAGAGTCACAGGGAGAAGACGGCCACGCACACGCCAAGAGACAGGCCTGGAACAGAGCCTTCCTGCACCGCTTCAGAGGGACCCACCCTGCTGACACCTTGATGGTGGACTCATGGCCTCCAGGATTGGGAGACAGTAACATTCTGTTGTTGAGGGTGCCCAGTCTGTGGTCCTGTAAAACAGCCCTAGGAAACTAACACAGCCTGTTAGCCCACAGATAGTGGAGAGACGGAATGAAATAATAATAGAAATATATGTGAAATAATAATAGAAATAAAGCACACAATAAATGTAATGGGCTTGAATCATCTCCGCATCATCGCTTCCCCTTCTCCTGGGTCCATGGAAGAGTTGTCTTCAAGAAACCTGGTCTCTGGTGCCAAAAAGTTTGGGGACCGCTGGTGTAAATGTTTCTGAAAATAGTTAAGCAACATAAGGTTTACCTGCTACAAATAATGCAGATTTAAATGCTAATAAAAATGGGTGCAAATGAAACACTCTTTCTGTGGTCCAGGGACTCTTAACCATTCTATCAGAAAGACGTGCAGCTTGGAACTGCAGCTGCCTTCCCACATCCTGTCCACTGTAAAGCCCTGCAACACACACACACGCACACACACATGCACACACACACACAGGCACACACACACATGCACACACACACGCACACACACACACACATGCACACACATACCCTGTGCTTCATGCCCTCACCAGGGTGTCCTGGGAGGGAATGTGTGTTTTTAGGAGAAATGAAGACAACTCAGGCCCCTCATTTTCCTGGTGATTGCACAAGTGCCTTCTCTGCAGACCATGCTTCAGTGCCTTTCTTGGTTCTCCCTCTTACTGAAAGAGAGAAGCAGAGACCCCTACCCCTGTCACCCACCACCTCCACCCCTAGGCTGCCCCAGAACCAGGTTCCAGAAGTCTCCCAGGATCCAGGAACTAAGGGCAACCACTGGGTTCCACAGTCCATGGGTCAGGCGCCTCTCTGCGAGCTGACAAACCTTGGCTCTCATGCCCCACACCAAGCCAGCCACACCGCCGTCCCCCCACCAGCATTATTACTGCCTCCTGATGTTAGCCCTGACAACCCTACTTGCTGATAATCTTGCCCCTCACACGCTGGTTCAGGCAAGCCCAAAGGCCAGCACCCTCCACCCACCCTTCCTGGGGGCCACTCTTCTTTCTGCTTGCCTAGATGTCTTCACCTGGCTTTACCAAGCTAGAACAAATAACAGGGATGAGCCCCCGGCCTCTACCGGGAAGATTTGCCAAAATACTCTCCATTTAGAAGGAGGAACAGTGATGGGGCCTACGAATGACCCCAGGATGGTCACCCAAGCAACAAGAAGGGCAAGGAGCCCAGTTTCCTGCCCTTACCCTGGGAGGATGTGGCCAGGGCACCACAAGGCCCTGGAGAGGGTGGGTAGGAGAGCAGATCCAACCTCTTCTTGAGGAAGCAGCCACCACCCCAGGAAGCAGCAGATGGGGGCGCACAGGCAGAGCCCCCGGTGCTGTAGAGCAGGCCCAGCAGATCTGTACTCAGCCTCAGCCCCGGGGAGCTGCAAGACAGGCTGAGACCCTGACAGGTTTGGATCTGTGTCCCCACACAAAACTCATCCCTCCTGTGTCAAGGGAGGAACCTGGTGGGAGGGGATTGGATCTGGGGACAGTTTCCCCCGTGCTGCTCCCCTGAGAGTGAGGGAGTCCTCAGGAGAGCTGATGGTTTCAAAGTGTGGCACTTCCTCGTTCTCCACTCACTCCCTCCTGCCGCCTTGTGAAGAAGGTGTCGCTTCCCCTTCGCCTTCTGCCATAATTGTAAGTTATCTGAACTGTGAGTCAAATAAACCTCTTTCCTTTAAAAACTACTCAGTCTCAAGTTTTTTTTTTTTTTTTTTTAACAGAGTTTCAATCTTGTCACCGAGGCTGGAGTGCAATGGCACTATCTAGGCTCACTGCAACCTGTGCCTTCCAGGTTCAAGGGATTCTCCTGCCTCAGCCTCCCAAAGTAAGTGGGATTACAGGCGCCCGCCAGCCACCACGCCCAGCTAACTTTTTTTGTATTTTTAGTTAGACAGGGTTTCACCATGTTGGCCAGGCTGGTCTTGAACTCCTGACCTCAGGTGATCCACCCGCCTCGGCCTCCCAAAGTACTGAGATTACAGGTGTGAGCCTCCACGCCCGGCCTCAAGCATTTCTTTACAGCAGTGTGAAAACAAACTAAAACCCCTTCCCTGAGGTGCCTTCTGCTTAGGCAACCAGCTGCCCCATGCTCCTCCTCTGCCCCCTGGTCTTTCTGTTCCCCTCATGAAGGCCAAGTGATAAACAGGGCCAGCCCCAGCCCCATCCTACTGCAGCCCATGTGGCTGCTGGAGAGGCTGCGCTCCTTTCCTCACCCAACGGGCCCTGATATGCTCTTTGGATCCTGGAGGAAACTGACCCCCTATTCTCACACTGGTGCAACTTCTTCCAAGACCTCAAAGCTGGACAACATGAGCCAGTCTTTTTTAATGTCTCCACTTGCTAGGGCTGTGACCGGGACAGTCCTAGAGGGTGGTGCCAATGGATAAATGGATGGATGGATGGATGGACAGTAGTCCAGGGATGATGTCCCTGTCTGTATTGAACTGGGCCCTTCCTCCAATGAGCAGCCTTCCTGAGTGAGTTTATACAATCGTCCCTTGGTATCCATGGAGGATTAGTTCTCGGGTCCCGGGGATGCCAAAATCCATGGATGCTCAAGTCCCTGATATAACATGGCCTAGTATTTACATAAAAGCTATGCACATCCTCCAATAGACATAGACCATTACTAGATTATTTATGATATGTAATACAATGCAGATGCTACATAAATGGTTGTGATACTGTATTCTTTAGGGAATGATGACAAGAACAAAGTCTGCACATGTTCAGTAGAGACATAATCATCCAATTTATTTTCTGAATATTTTCCATCTGCTGTTGCTGAACCCACAGATGCAGAGCTCCCAGATATGTGGGCCAAGTGTGCTTTGAGAGTAGGGTGGGTGAGGTTGCTAATGAGTACAGGGGAGCAGGTGTCGATCAGAGGTCCCTGCATTGGGGCATCTGGACACCCTATCTCCGGACTTGAGACTCCATTTGAATGGCACAGGCAGACTCAGCCCCGGTCAAAGTTCACCCCTTGAAGCTTCATTTTATCCCAAACTCTTTCTGGACCCTGGAATTTGGCATCCCCTAGGCCCTGGCAAGAAGGACAGATGAACCAGATTTTAGATAACGTGTCTGGAATAGAGTGAGGCCCTACTGTGTGCCTGGCACTTTCCCCATAGGATCCTCTAGCTAGAACATTCAAGGGTCATGGAGAGAAATACCCAGTTAAAATATCAGAAATTTAAAAAAAGATACCATTAGAGGCACGAAAAAAAACATTAAGTAATAGTATTAGCATTTGTATTCTGAGATTCAACAGCACTGGTCATTTCCCTCCACCCTTATGTGTATCCCAGACCACCCTGGACGAGGAGGGCTGAGGTTAGGGAACACCCGTGGATGCTCTGATACTGGTCCTCAGCCTTGGGGGTGACAGTGATGAGGAACTGGGTGCACACATGAGTGGGGCAGCCAGGCCTGGCCAGAGAAGGCACACACACGTGCACAGATGTGTTTACCCATTTACAGGTGTGCACGCATGCACACAAACACATTGCAGGCAGGCATGTGGCCACCTCAGGCAGCGGAGGACCCCATCTCTGGGCCCTGCTGACCCGGGCAAGGCCCCACTGTGATGCGTGCCATGACCTCACAATGTCACTGGTGCTTAGCACCAATCCGCTCTCCGGCCTGCCTCTGTGTTCTACAGCAGTTACACGTGCACAGTGGTATCAGCTACACACGCACAGTGGTATCTGGGAACAGTTTTGTGGACTCAAAGGTTTTCTACCTGATAGGCATAACGCAGGCCAACTGATTCATCAGAATCAGGTGAGTGCGACCTGCTCTCTTCCCTCCAGGCTGACTTGGGGACAGTGGCTATGCTGTGGGTGGTGTTGGCCTCTGGGCAGCTACCGAGGAGGGTCATCCCTGAGCACTCACCGGTCGCCCGTTCTACACTGCCAGTGTAGACAATTGGCTCTTTCGTCCTCATGGTGGCTTCATAGAGTGAGTGCCATTCCCTAGTGTACCCATTCGACAGGTGAGACGTCTGGGGTCAGAGAGGCGGTAACTGGCCTGGGAATCCAGACAGGACCGTGGGTTTTGCTCTCAGCCCTGCCGTGCGCTGTGCTGGAATTCAGGCCTGAACCCTGTGACTTCCCTGCCCTAGATCCCAAGTCTTCCCAGGTTTCCCATCCCGATGGGGCAGAACCTGGCCCTGGCAGAGCAACTGGGATAGATCCACTGGGGGTGGGGGGGATAGGAGGGTCCTCAGAACAACTCTGTGCCCCAAGCTGGGTCCTGATGGTGGCTGTGGGCCTCACTGAACACACATGGTCCCTTGTCCTGGGGAACCTTCTGCCCTTGGGTAACTGTGGAAAATGAAGGAGCCCTGGAGGGCTGGCTGGGGGGAGACCATCTTCCCTTCTGTTCAAAGGGGTCCAGGCACTGGGGTTCTCTCCACGTATTTCTTGCTCTGTCTGGTCCTCTCGAGGCCTCGCCTTCCTTTTTCCCCAAGTGTTCCCAGGAGGGACGGTCCATCCAGGTGTTCTCCAGGACCAAGGACCCACTGTCCTTCCTCAGTGACATGGGAAAATGAAGCCCCCTCCTGTAGGGACAGCTCAGAATGGTGGAGTCCTCAGTCCCTCCCCGAGTGAGGGTTTCCCCTAGCACAATAGATCATTTTCATCCCCCAAACCGAACACCCTCCTGCTCAACTGGCATTATTCCTAAAGTGGCTTCACTGTTCAGACTGAAGGGCCACGGGAGCCAAAGTGATGAGCGGAGAAGAACAGAGCAGTCAGGAGAGATCTTGTTCCCTGTAGGAAACTGGACATCTCTGTGGTCCCTGAGCATCCCAGGAGGCCGATTGTACAGCGACCTCTGGTCGCTGACCTCAGTCTCCCTCCACATCCCTGGAATAGCCCATCATGGGCCTTTCACCCTTGGCAGGTGGACACTATTCAACCTGCTGGGGCAGGTGTGTCCCCATTTCATGGCAATTGGGGATGACGGGATTCTCTGTCCAGGTCCCACTGTCCTCAAGTCCTTGGGATGATGCCCACCCTGCTTGGGACTGGAGACTCCAGACACTCATGCAGGTGCGGGACACTAGGTCTGGCACCTTTTTACCTGGGGAAGGTGATGGAATCGGGGTTACATGGCCAGCCAGCATCTGGGAGCCTGGCGGGAACGGTTCAGGTGTTCTCTGAAACTCTCAAGTACAATGTAACTTTTAGATGATTTTGTCTCACAGGATGGTAATCATAGAGGATGCAGATAGTTTGCGGGCACAGGAGCGAGAGAATATCATCATGAACTATGAGAAGGTACAGGTCGGTCTGCTCCTTGGAGGGAGGCCTCTTCCAGTGCGCCCTGGTCAAAGGGTCCTGGGCTCCCTAGGAGCACAGAGTGGGCACGGGTGGCTACTACCCCCAGGCCCTTGCACCCTTTGCCTTGGACCCCTCACCAAGCCTCCCTCTGGGTTACAGGGACACCTAGCTGGGCTGCCCGAGGACACTGGGCCTGAGCCTGTTGGAATCTACAACAACATTGATCGCTTTGGGATTGTGCAGTGAGTCCTCTGTGCTCCCCTCACCCCTGAAGCACCTGTCTCAGCTCAGGGATGGGTTTGCTTTTAGAAAGGCCTTTCCGAGGCAGGACTGTCTCGCCGGGTCAGGCCAACCTCCTTTCCAGGGTCAGAACTCCTCCCTGGCTCCCCTGCAGGTCCAGCCCCAGGTTGCTGTTAGGCCAGAGGTGCGGGGCCCATCTAGGGAGCAGTTAGGAATGGAGACTGGGCTAGGTCAGGCCCCTGGACTCTCAGCAGTTCTGTCCCCAAGTCAGCACAAGAGGAGCGGGGCAGCCTGAGGGTCTGGCCATGTCTACTTGGAAACAACCCCAGTGAAATCCAAGGGTTCTGGCTACAGGGTGAGGGGACGCCTGGCCTAGCCTCAGGGCTGTTGTCCAGCATGTCTCTGAGGGCCCACCGGCCCCTGTCCTCCCTCATTTCCCTAGAGCTACAGCCCTCACTGTCCCCTTGGAAAAGGGGGAAAGGCATGGGAACAATGGGAGCGGTAGCCCTAGGAGAATGGAGGAGAAGATGGGCAGGGACCTGTTATGGGCATCTCACCGTGAGGCCAGGGAGGCAGCCGGGCTTGTGGCGCCAGACCCTGGGTCTGGTGCTGGGAAAGGAGCTGGGGCCATGTAAAAGGAGTCCAGCCAGGAGTCCATCCCTTAGGGATCACAGGATGGAGAGACAGAGGATCCCGGGGGAGGTAGGGTGGGAGGGAGCTGATGAGCGGTGCCACTTCTAAAACGCAGGGTGTGTGGGTCAGGTGCAGGGAGAGGCAGGTGGATGCAGAGAGTCAGAACCTTGGGGCTGTCAAGTGGGATGGGCCCCTGGTACACCAGGAGTACACCGGGCAGGTCTCACGGCAGGCTCCCTTGACCCCGGTGGGGTGATGTGGTCACTCCCTGAGGGACTCCTGTGAGGGCCCTGTCGCCCACCCTGGGCGGCCCCCATCCCATCTCAGGCCTGACCTTTCTCAGCTCCAGCAGAAAGCACCACCTCGAGTCCAGGACGGGCAGCCCCATTGTGCAGCCTGACTGCCCCCCATGCCAGGGGCCCCAGTTATCACGCCCAGGCTGGCCCTGCACTCCTTCTTCTCCCAGCTCCTGCCCCTCCTAGGAGTCAGCCCCACAGGAAGGCCCTTGTCCTCGCTTCCCTGTGTCTTTTCCTGGACTGAGCCCTGAGCCGGTTAGGGACAGAGTCTGTCCTTTCTGGGGGTTGGGTCCCAGTCTGGGGGAACTCCAGGCCCTGTGCAGGTCCTCAGTTGCCCTGGGTTGTCTTACAGTGAGAGAGAGCTGCCTCCTGCCACTGCTCGGGAGGCGAAGGTAAGAGCCTGATGCATGGGGAGGGGCCTGGACCAGGGATGTGGGGACTGGGCGGGTGGTCGGTGAGGCAGAGGAGGCAGCTGGCCTGGGCGGTGGCGGGTGAGGACAACACGATGTCCCTGGGAGGAGCAGCACTCCCTGCTGGATCTGACCCCAGGTTGCTGTAACTTTGGCAGCTTGATAAGATTCCAAAGTGAGAACCACAGTTGTGGCTTGGGGGTGGCTGCCCGCCTGTGTCAGGACCCCACCTAGAGGCTGGGACCTGACCTAAGACTGGTGTGTCTGTGGCCTGAGGACGGCACGTCTCGGGGTCCCAAAGCCAGCCCACTGGTGCTCATTTGCTCAAAGGCTCTCAGCCCTTAGGGTCTGCCCTTCCCTGGTTCCCTTCAGCTGGGTCCACCAGGGCTCCAGAGCCCAAGACCCAGCATCCACGGGCGGCTCTGGGAAGCCTGGCAGCTCCCCTAACACCAACATTCCTCATTTGACAGCAAATGTGGCGGGAGATAACACGAAAGAGCAAGTGGATGGAAATGCTGCGACAATGGGAGACATACAAGAACAGTAAAAAGGTAATGTGTGGAGGGAGAGGCCCCCGGAACCACTTTCTGCAGAGACAGGGGACAGGCACCCATGGCTGTGGCCTGGCACCATCAGCCTCTCAGAGGGTGGGTGGCACACTGTCCTCACCCAGAGAACTGCAGGCCTGGTCGGTGGTTTGCCTGCCTATTTATGCAAGCGTCACCTTGCTGGGAGGGAATCTGAATCTAGGGCTGGAAACACCCAGACCTCAAGGCTAGGGATGCCCTGGTGACCTAAAGGAAGGAAAAGGTTCAGATCAGAGTCCCGACTCTGAGTGTCCATCCACTCTTTCAATCCTGGGAAGGGAGACCCTGTCCCAGCTTAATGTCACCTCTAACGAGGAATCATGGGGCCAAAACCAACCATTTCCAGAATCCTCGGGCTCTGGTCCTCACTGGGTTTGCCCCGTGGCCTGTGACACCAGATTGTTTTCTGCCCACAGCTGATAGATCGAGTATATAAGGGCATTCCCATGAACTTCAGGGGCCAAGTGTGGTCAGTCCTCCTGAACATACAGGAAGTGAAGTTGAAAAACCCCAGAACATACAAGGTACGCTCAGCCAGAGCACAACAAACAGGACAGGCCGTGTCATGGGCCCAGGTCTCCAGCTGAAGCCAGCATCAAGCCCAGGCTGGCGGGGTGGGTGGGATGGTCAGATGCACATCCTGGGCATGGATGGTGACATAGTCACCACAGACAAACTCGGCTCTGGTGACCCTCCCCGGCTTCAGTAACAAGCCAAAAAGCAGCTTTGTGCAGAAGGAAACCTTCCTGCTTTCCTTCCTTCCCGGAGTGCTGACTGTGGGCCGACTGCCATTTGGGGCAGGGAGTCTTCCATCTGTTCTGAGGCTGCTTCCTCCTCTTGGCCCTGCCCTACAGGTCATGAAGGAGAAGGGCAAGAGGTCATCTGAACACATCCACCAGATCGACCTGAACGTGAGCGAGACACTAAGGACTCACGTCTTCTTCAGGGATCGATACGGAACCAAGTAAGCCTATGGGAGCCACAGGGTCTCAGTAAGATGGTGTGAACGAAAGGGATGGGGGCTTCCCCGGAGAAGAGGCCAGGGTCACCTAGGAGGGATGACAGAGCTGCCAAGACCTCCCCTGACCCAGGGAGCAGCTGGCACCATGAACTGAGCACCTGGTTCCAAGCCCTGGGCCAGACTGGAGCATGTGGGGCCAGAAACGAGGAGGACCCTGAGGAGACAGAAGTCAGCAAACAAAATCATGCACAATGGTGAAAGGTGCTCTCCCGGACCCACGGGGACCCATGGTAGGACCCACGGGAGGGTGGCAGGATTGAAGGCCCATGAGCCTCTCCAGGCAACACTGACAGCACCAAAAGCTGGGACAATTAGGGGTCCTGGAAACTGTCATCCTGGTCTGCTGGGAACATGACATGGCACAGCCACTTTGGCAGCCAGTTGGGCAGTGACTTACAAAGCTCAATGGACTTGAACCACGTGTCCCCAAAGTATCACAAATATTGAACCCACTGATTTGAAAACTGATGTCCACATGAAACCTGCATGCCACGTCCACTGCTTGATTCCTCGTCACTCACACAAGGAGCCTTCGGGGACAGTCTTCAACATGGGAATGGGGAGAGCAAGGCTGGTTCTCTCTCCAAACGGAAGACCCAGTGAGAAAAGAGAACGAGCCAGTGATGCCCGCACGAACGTGGGTGGATCCTAGATGCATTTTGATGAGGGAAAGAAGCCAGACCCAATAAGCTACCACGTAGGATTCCCATTCCTGGGCCATTCTGGAAAAGGCCAAACCATAAGGACTGACAAGCAGTCTGGGTGGCCGGGGGCTGAGGGATCAGGGAGAGGCCGGGTGCATAGGGGCCACCCTGGAGACTTGGAAGATGAAGGAGTCGCTTCAGGAGGGGCTGGAGCAGTAGCCAGGATACTGCCCATTGGTTTAGAACCACGGAGGAACTGTACATCCAAAGACTGAGCTGGCGTGTGTGCAAATTGAAAAAAAAAATTATTCAGAGTGAAAAGGATCAGGCAAGTCACTGTACAACTGGGCTATCTGCATGTCACAGATGTGGATTTTCCTGAAACATTTCCTCAAAGTCCAAGGCCCTGAAGAGCTCACTGCTTATCTGGTGAATCATCTGAACCTGAAATGGGATTTGTTGTTAGGCTTTGTAGACAAACTGAAACTAACAGCATCTGCACAAAACAAAAGCCTCCTTTCTCTGTTTCCTAGGCAGCGGGAACTATTCTACATCCTCCTGGCATATTCGGAGTATAACCCGGTGAGTATTCCCAGCAGTGATGTTCCCAGGCAGTATTTCCCTGTTCACAGGAGTGGGTGTCTGGTGGGGGTGCCGTCGCTTCTTTTAAAGTTAGTATTTGTGAGCCACCAGGATATAGGAGGTAGAACTCCAGCTCACTGCTGGCATAAACCTCCAAGCAAGGGGATGGTCTCAAGGGGTCAAGCTGAGACACAAAGGAGTCAGGGCCTGGACTCCTGGTGTCACCTGGGCCTGACCACCACTTCTCAGAACCAGAAATGAACCCTTCCTCCTGGGGCTTCACCCAAGCCCAGGAGCTTGGCAGGGTCACACGCAGGACGGTGCCATCAGGAGACATTTTGGACAAAGTGCTGAAGTGTCTGATGGACTTGGCTCTTGTCATGAAATGAATTTGCACCCTGAGGAAGCCTCTTCTTCAGAGGAAGCCTCCCCAGTCACCTCTCCCGTCTCCAATGACATGAGTCCTCCCAAGAGACCTCAGTCCTCCCAGGTGATGTCCTTTCACGGTGACTCTGGCTCTTGCAGGAGGCGGGCTACTGCAGGGACCTGAGCCACATCGCGGCCTTGTTTCTCCTTTATCTGCCTGAGGAGGATGCATTCTGGGCACTGGTGCAGCTGCTGGCCAGTGAGAGGCAATCCCTGCAAGGTAGGTGGACAGCTGCCCATGGGACCTCAAACAGCCAGACCCAGGGATGGCCACCCTGGCCAGGTGATCTCGGCTTTTAGCCAAGACACCTTCCTTGTGTAGCCAGCTCCTTGGAAGTCTTCAGGATGTCTTTGCTGAGGGTCCCACAGCAGTCTGCGGCTGACCCCCAAAGCCCAAGTCAGACGCCTTTCATCCCCATCAGCGGAGGGCTTCTCATCCTCCCCGTGGCCACCCTCTGTGTCCTGCTGCCACGCCCTCTGGCTCTGATTCTGTGCAGCTCACTCTCCCCTCACTGGGAGTCCTCCTGCCCTCCAGCTGCCCAGGCTCGTGCTGCCCTTGGTGCCCACAAATGGGCCGACCAAGCCCAGGTGGCAGCATCTCTCCATCCCGTGTCCCCTGGCCCGACCCCACTTCCAGGAGACGACCAGGAAGCCCAGCACCCGCCCTGTTCTGGCCGCCATGTGGTGGCCTTAAGTCAGGCTTGCCCTTTTTGCACCCTGGTCCAGGAGGCCTCTAGGGAAACCTGCAGCCAGACTCCAGGGGATGTTCCTGGCCCACCTCCCCAGGGTAAAGGCTGCATGGTGAGGTCACCAGATGGGAGGGTGAAAGGCCTTGCGGTTTGGGGGCCTCTCCAGCTGCCCAGCTCTTCCAGCTGATGACTCCACATCTTGGGGAAAGGGTCTGACTTCATGATGGGCTGGGGGTTTCTCAGGATTCCACAGCCCAAATGGCGGGACAGTCCAGCGGCTCCAAGACCATCAGGAGCATGTGGTCCCCACGTCACAACCCAAGACCATGTGGCGTCTGGTGAGTTTATGGCGTCTGGTGAGCAAGCTTGGGCTCTTCTCCAGAGGCCCTGCATCCCGTGGCGCTGGTGACTGGCTGAGTCCCAGCCACTGGCTGACCTGGGATGTCGGGTTCTCCATGGGCCGGGAGTTGGTCTATAGGACAGAGGCACAGGGATGGGGGCCCAGCTCCCGCAGAGCAGGGCAAAGGGCAGTGTGTCCACCGGGAGTGTGGAAGGGGCGGTGTTGTGGGGAGCCCTGGACACCGCCCAGTGTTCTGCACTAGGGGAAGGGTCTTCAGAGGCCCTGGAAGAGGGAGGTTTTTAGGGCAGCCCAGGGGGCCCTGAGCACCTCTGTTCCTCCCGTCAGGACAAGGAAGGTCTTTTCACGCAGAGTTCCTCATTAGGCTGGCTTCTCCAGATGTGGAATGACGGGGTAAGAAGGCACAGGGAGACCCTGGCTCAGGGACCCTCCTTGCCCTGCAGTGCCCTGCTTCCCCAGCCCGGGGCTCTGGCTCACCCACAGCCCACAGGAGGCTCCGCCCACAGGGGGGCCCTCACAGGACACCCAAGCAAAACCCTCTGCCCAAGAGGGGTCATCTCAGGGCAATGACTGGCGCTCAGGACCAGCCTTACAGGCAGACTGGGCCAAGACCTGATTTGGGAGGGATCAGGGAAGCCTCAAGCCCTGGGCAAGCCCCTCTCTCCAGGAGCCACACCCCCACTCCAATGAGTGCCCCCCATGAGGAGCTGCAAGACCTTGTCTGACCCAGCGCCCTGGAGGGCTCAGGAAACCCTCATGGGGAAGGTCACTGACTCTGGGGACTGAAGCCCCAGTGGGCTCAGTTCGAGCTACCAGCCCCAGCCTGGAAGGGCTACAGTCTCCCACACCTGCTATCCCCACAGATCTCTCTTGGGCTCATCCTGCGCCTGTGGGACGTGTATTTGCTGGAAGGAGAACAGGTGTTGATGCCGATGACAAGCATTGCCTTTAAAGTTCGGAGGAGTAAGTCTACATGTGCCCAGTGGGGCGTGGGGAGCCCTGAGGTCAGACCCCGACTTACCCGAGGGCAAATTCCTCACACTGTCCTCATGATCTTCTGTTCTGGCCCAGAGGGAGGTCTGGCCAGGTGGGCTGGGCAGGGCACAGTGACACCGAGCCCGTCCCCTACATGGCCCAGATGAAAGTCAGGAGTGTTGTGAGCACTTCCCTACCCACTTCCCCCGGCCACAGTCTCCTGTGCACATCTGAACCCCTGGGGTGGCCACAAAAGATTCCAGCATCACCTAGTGGGAGACTGAAGTGGCCATGGGGTATCAGCTGTGCCCCCTCCCAGGGAACTCTCCTGGCCTGATGTCCACCCTGTCCCTAGAGCGCCTCACGAAGACGTCCAGGTGTGGCCTGTGGGCACGGTTTCGGAACCAGTTCTTCCATACCTGGGAGTTGGATGATGACTCTGTGCTCAAGCATCTTAAGGCCTCTATGAAGAAACTAACAAGGAAGCAAGGGGACCTGCCACCCCCAGGTGGGCTCCAGTGCCATGTCCCCTCCCATGTCACCCTCTGGGGCAGTTAATAGTGGGAGAGTCCCCGAGACCCGCAACCCTACTACCTGGGCCTTCCTCTTCACCATTTCATTCTCCTCTTCCTCCTGGACTCTAAGAAAGCACAGGAGGCCCACCGGTCCTCAGGGCAGGCGCTCAGTGCGTGTGTACTGGATGTGTTGTGCCGGCAGGAGGAGGATGTGGGCATGACCGTCCAACAAGCCCCCTCCCACATTCCACAGTGTCTCTGTCTCCCCATCACAAGGCTGTCAAGGGCACTAAAGAAGCCAGACCCATTTGTGGATAACCCCAGGCCTCCCTACAAGCACCCACAGCCTCAGACAGCAGCAGAGGCCCCTCACTGCTGCACGCTCCTCCAAGGTTGCCAGGACAACCAGCCTTGAGCCAGGGAGACAAGGGAATCGGGTGTCCCTGACCCCAGAGCATTCAGGGAGAGGGCACAGGCAGGACCCCAGGCGAGAGCCAGAGCCCAGAATTCAGGCAGATGTAGGAACGGTCAGTCCTGGCATGGACTGCGCAGCCCAGGAAGGCAGAGGGTGACCCACCTCCAGGTCCCGTCACCCACTGTGGAGATGGGCCCCCATGTGAGGTGACAAGGGCTGGGTGACATCCAAGTTCCCTCCCACCTGATTCTCACTGGGGGCTGTATCCTTGGTCCAACAGCCCTGGGCAAGGGTGTGTGGTAGGAATCCCCCAGCCAGTCCGAACCCTGGGAGCAGTCCTAGGAGCTACCTGTCATGCCCTGACAGCTTCCCCATGCCAGTGGCACACACCCCTCCCTCGGGATCAGCAGACTACAGGCGTGTCCTCAGTGTCAGGCCCCGGGGCCCCACAGAGACCCCGAGGACTCCAGAGACCCAGGCAGGTGGGGCCCAGCCGGAAAGGCCTGCATAGGCTCATTAGAGACGCTGACCACGTCTGTTTTCCTTTCAGCCAAACCCGAGCAAGGGTTCTCAACACCCAGGCCTGTGCTGGCTTCACATGGCAGGATGATCCTCTGCAAGGGGGACAGACAGGCTCCTCCAGGCCCACCAGCCCGGTTCCAGCGGCCCATTTGGCTAGTTTCCCCACCATGGGCACCTCGTTCTTCCACATCCTGTCCTGGTGGGGCTGTCCGGGAAGACACCTACCCTGTTGGCACTTGGGGTGTGCCCAGCCCAGCCCCGGCTCAGGAAAGATCTCAGGGTTCCTGGAGATTCCTGGAGTGGAACTCGATGCCCCGGCTCCCAACGGACCTGGATGTAGGGGGCCCTTGGTTCCCCCATTATGATTTCGAACAGAGCTGTTGGGTGCGTGTCCCTTCTGAATGTGTCCTGGACAGCCCCGGGACTGTGGGACAGGGCCAGCTCGAGAAGCCCACGGGGACCCTGACACCAGGCCCTGCCCAGGCCCATCAGGACTGAGGGAGGCAGGAGATATCCCACTACAACAGGGCACCCCATCTCGGACAAGAGACTTGCACCCAATTTCTAGAATGGCACCGTATCCCAGGAAGACCAGCTGGCCACCTGCTGGCAGGCGGAACACCCTGCGGAGGGGGTGAGATTGATTTCACTGCACTGAGCCACAGTGTGGACATGGACTTCCAGCCCCTGCACTGCACCCAGCACTGATTCCAACCAGGACACCCCCGTCGCAGCTAGGGACGAGCAGCAGTGCCTCCCACCTCAGGGCCTTGCCTCTGCCGCCTCTACTTGGAAAATTCTCAGTTCCTCCAGGCTTCTAGAAGCATCTAGGGCAGGGCTCATGGCTGGATAACTTCCTGAGGCTTAACAACCCAAGCAAACTTCACGTCCTCATTTTATTTTTTGTTAAACTTATGAAAATTGATTAAGAAAGTGTGCAGCTCGAAAGACCTTCACAGATGGAACACACCAGCCCCCAGATTCACAAAGCCAACCATGCCAGCCCCTCCCAGCACCCCCCAGCCTTGTGACCAGCTTTTCTGAATTCCCACCAACACCAGTGTGCCTGCCTTTGTGTTTTCAACTCATAGTGATGTTAACCCCCTTCATGTTTTAAAATAAATGTTTTCTGTTGAAATTATTTTAGCTATAAAAGATTGAAAAGGCACCTACAGTGGCCTCCCTATTAGCCTTTCCATCACAGCTGAGCCCGTGGCTAATAATGACATTTTGCAAGTACCATGGCACAGTAGACAAATTTAGACTCTGGGTGTGATTGCCACACTGAATATAATCCCATACAATTATGAGAGGTTGGAGGCCAGGACGTTCATGTCAACCTTGAGTCTAGAAGTCCCTGGGACCTAGCCTGGGGAACACAGGTGGAATCCCGTCCTCTAGAGAAAATCAAAGAAACAGCCAGTCATGTGGCGATGTGCCTAATAGTCCCAAACCTATCATGTCGGAGCTGCAGGCGAAGAACTGCTGGAGCCCATGAGTTCCAGAACGCAGTGAGCCATGACTGCACCACTGCACTCCAGCCTGGGTGACCGAGTGAGACTTTCCTCTTAAAAAAAATTAGAATTTAACGTGGGTACAATCCTATTAACTAAATAATAATGTGAACTATTATCTAAGGTTATTAAGGCTGGAATCATCTCATTTTTGCCTAACTTCTCATACCTGTCCAAGATCCCACTTCAGACTCACCCTCTGCCTTCAGCTCATGTCTCCTCAGCTTCCTCCAGATGGTTCAGCAAACACACACCTGGGCTGAATGGTAGAGCTGATTGCTCGTACACAAGGGGAGACCTGTGGGCAGGGGTTTTCAAACTTATACAGCAAATGAGTTTTCCATGGTGTTCTGGAGAGCACCCTTTGAGAAACACTTTGACAGTGAATCCAGGCCCCAGTATCCATCAGCTGCTCTAGTGAATTTTGTGGAAGCTCAGTGAACACCTGCTCTGCAGGGTGCATGGAAAGGGGTGAGGCTGAGTAAGCTGCAGATAAA